TTAGTTGTGGGTTCGATCCCCAGTCAGGGAGCATATGGGAGGCAACCAACAGATGTTTCTCTCACATTAATGTCTCCCTCTCTCTTTCTCCCCTAACCCCCTCTCTAAAATCAATAAACATATCCTTGGGTGAGGATTAAAAAATAAATAAAAATAAACGTGCATACAAAATAAAATAACATTATTTATCATTTTATAAAAAAAAAAAAAAATTAAAAAAAAAGAGACAGCAAAAATGTTAACACTAAGCATAAAATCTTGGCCTTAAGTATGCTTGTAACCAGGGAAAAAGGAGACTCATGTCTTACAGAAATCTTATTTTCAGAAATGAGAAAACTGTCTAGTGATCCAGGAAAGATAGTGTTTTCCCTATTACTAAATTCTGAAAAAATTTCAACATTGCAGCACTACAGAAGGCCATCAGATGATGGAAATGATAATGTCTGTGACAATCTCACATGAATGTACAACAGGACATTTATTTCCTATAGCAAACGTGAATAAAATTTAACATTAAAGGACAATTCTGTAAAAGCGATTTCTTGAGGGCTTGGGAAATATGGTCCAAAATGTGCTATGCATTGAATAGAGGTGTCTTCCCATTCTTCCTAAAAAGCATGACTCTCCCACTCTGACTGGTTTGACTCAGCAGTTAGCATTGGCCTGTGGACCAGAGAGACCCGGGTTCGGTTCCGCTAAGGGCACGTACCTTGGTTGCAGTTTGTCTCCGGCCCCCGGTTGGGGTCGTGTGGGTGGCAACCAAATGTGAGACACATTGATGTTTCTCTCTCTCTCTCTCTTCCTCCCTCTCTCCTTCCCGCTCTATTTGAAGATAGATGCAAAAAATGTCCTCGGGTGAGGATTAAAAAAAAGCATGACTCTCAATCAGATTAGGTAACAAAAAAGATAAGGGCCATACAGCATGTATTCTACGTCCCTGACTCCCTGTTTACCTGTGAAATGTTGTTACCTGTTCCTGTCATTCCTTTGGAGTGACAGAAGGACAAAAACCAGGACACGAAAGAAGACCTCTCACTATTTAAGCTGGTTCTGTAAATAAGGAAATTATGACAGGGACTTCAATTTAGGTATCCAAACTGAATTACCTCTCTCAGATACCAGTAAAATGCATGGAAACAAATGAGATTCTGTTTCTTTCTCCTTCTGTCTTTTTGAATATCCTTACCAGAACATTTCCAAGCTGAGGCAGCTCTACCTGACCCCATGTGATAATCCATTTCCCTCCCAGTCACTTACTCAAAACGCATAGGGAGCAAAAAGAATTCAAAGTGGCTATTTTTTCTCAGATTTACTATATCTGCTATTGTTTCAAATAAAATATTTTAAAACTAAAAACCAATTATTTATCCATACATCTGTCCATCTATTCATTCATTCACTGAACAAACATCTTAGCCTCTATGCTAAGCAGTGGAAAAACTATGAATAAAATACACCCTTGAATTTCTAATTTAGATGATAGGTGACAGTGTTTCTCTCTCCCAATTCATTTAAACAGTTAAAATGTGCACTGCAGGATAAGAGTTCACCTTTCAAGTACCATTAGAATGTAAGATTGTCTCCTGCTAATCTAAAGATGGCTCAAGGCCTCAAATACAAAATCATATCTTCAATTAATCACTCAACTATGGCCACCTTCCTAAGGACAGCTGGGCTTTCAGCTCTGTCCCCAAAGCCAGCAGGGACTGTGCCAACAGCTTTCGTAGCTACAGAGGGAGGCACTGAGGAATCCATTTAAGGGGGAAATCAAATTGTTCAGGGACTCCTCCTGACCATGGTTTTCTCCCTTGGTGCAAAGCAGTTTTTAATTTCACTGAAGAATTTCTTTAAGAAATTAATTTTCATAATAAAAATAAAATCTACATTCAGGCAGCCACTTATTCCAAAAAGCTAAGAAAATAAATTCCGGGTGAAGAAAAGACGACTTTAAATAGCCAGGGAGGATAAGGTAATAAATGACTAGTGGAAAGTATCAAAAATTAAAAAGTAATTCCAAATAAAAACAGATACCATGGAATGAAAACATAGTACTGTGCACTTGGCATGGCTTCAATTATTCATTTGATAATATACAAGGTTTCCTTTCTTTAAATGCATTCATATTACAATGGGTTTGCTACCACAAGATTAATGTTGTATTACAGTTCTAATTACAATTCACACTGAGGCCTACTTCTCAACAACAAATATTCAAGTTGAGAAATAAAAGGAAATGAAACAATGTATAAGAAAAATATGCCATCTTCTCACTAAATTACAATTTTGACTCCCCAGTTATTGAGAAAGTCAAACCCTCACATCTACCGTGATGCAGCTCCTGTCTACCTACACGGTCAATGCCTTACATTTAGCCTGGTCATAAAGAAGCATCACCTAATTCCACAGCACCATCTGAAATAACAGCCCCACAGTCTAGGGAATGACTTTCTAGGTAGAGAGGTTGACATGCTAAATTCCAAGCCAAGCAAGTATCAAGTGTCCACAGCTGCCTGCTGCATGTGAGAACCTTTCAGATGAGAATGAATAGGTAGGTCTGCTATATGTCTTGGCAAGATCATAGGGGGACCCACACTATTCTAGGGGTGGAAAAGGAGACAGGCCAAGGATATTGTCCCAGGTATGCTAGTGCCAAATGACTGGGTTGGGAAAGGCAAGTCTCCATTTTTCTTTTTTAACATATTTACCTGAAATTAAACACTAATGAAGTCATTTGAAACTAAGTTTTATACTGTTTAAGCCATGTGTTAAAGACATTCTTCATGGATGCAAATAGAATATCATACACTTGGGCTAGGAAGTGTTTTCTAAACACATTAGTACCAACTCTATTATTTTCTTCCCATGTCATTGAAATTGGACTATAACAGAGAAGAGGAAAAAAGCACATCTTTCTATCATACCTAGGCTAAATCATATTTTTATGTAAATTAACAGCATCTTGGAAAAGTTTCAACTAGATGGTAGATAACACATACAAGATTTAAATTTTGTGCCCTGGCCAGTTTGGCTCAGCGGTTAGAGCATCGGCCTGCGGTCCAGAGAGACCCAGGTTTGGTTCCCGCTAAGGGTGCGTACCTTGGTTGCAGTTTGTCCCCAACCCTGGTTGGTCTGTACGGGTGGCAGCCATTCGATTGTCCCATTCACGTTGATGTTTCTCTCTCTCTCTCTTCCTCTCTCTCCCTCCCATTCTATCTGAACAAAAAAAAATGGCAAAATGTCCTTGGGTAAGGAGTAAAAAAAAAAAAATGATTTAAATTTTGAACAATTAATTGTTCTACATTATCAAACACTATGTCCAGTCTTCTGCCCCATCCCAGTCTAAGTAATGAAATGCTAACCTCACCCACAGCCACAGAGACTGTGATCTATCTCCTCACTTTCACCAGTCCTGACCTGGTGCCCTCCACAAGTATTTGTTCAAGTAGCTGTTTAAAAGGGGAGAAAATCGCCCTGGCCGGTTTGGCTCAGCAGTTAGAGTGTCGGCCTGTGGTCCAGAGAGACCCAGGTTCGGTTCCCGCTAAGGGCATGTACTTTGGTTGCAGTTTGTCCCCGGCCCTGGTTGGATTGTGCAGGTGGCAGCCACTCAATGTGTGCCTTTCACGTCAATGTTTCTCTCTCTCTCTTCCTCCCGCTCTATCTGAACAAAAAATGAGAAAATGTCCTTGGGTGAGGATAAAAAATTTTTAAAATTAAAAAATAAAAGGGGAGAAAATCATCACAGCTGGTGTGGCTCAGTGGTTGAAGTGTCGACCCCTGCACCAAGAGGTCACCAGTTCGATTCCCAGTCAGGGCACATGCCCAGGTTGTGGGACAAATCCCCAGTGGGGGGCATGTAGGAGGCGGCCAATCGATGTTCTCTCTCATCGATGTTTCTATCTCTCTCTCCCTCTCCCTTCCTCTCTCTGTAAAAATGAATAAAGAAAAATTTTTTAAAAAAAGAAGAGAAAACCAGCCCTTGACTCGTGTGGCTCGGTTGGGTAGACTGCCATATCCCGTGCACCAGAAGGTCTCAGTTCCACTCCTGGTCAGGGTGTGTAAGGGAGGGAACAGATGAATTGATGTTTCTCTTTCCTTCTCCCCCTCACCCTTCCTCCTCCTCTTAAAAAAAGGGGGGGGGGGTCAGAATAAAAAATAAATTAAAATTAGAATCAAATGCTTGTTGGCATCTATTAGAAAACAAAATAGTGTAGTAAAACAATCAAGAAGAAAAACTCTTACTGTCAGAGCAACTGTTCTTCTAAACCAATGATATAAAATTTTCTCAAATTAAATCAAACAAAAAGTTATCAATGTAAAATCCTATGAAAGAGCTAAGCATATGTCTTTAAAATTAAGCATTTCAATCCACTTAATCAACTTAAGCATAAACACCATCTTTTAGTTTCAATTATAAAAACATCTTTTGAAAAGTGCTGGATCTTTTCACATTTAAAGCAAGGGGCCAAAAAACATTTTATTCTACATTCTCCCTCTAAATTCTCCAAATTGTACTATACCAAAACCACTGAAGGGAAAGGCCAGGTGCTGGTCTTGGCTATTTCTTTATGAAGGTTTGGTGTCTACACAGCTCATTGTCCTATACACTCAGACTGGACACCTTCTAGAGTCTCAAAGGAGCTGTGCTGTGAAAACAGACCCTACCCTTCCAATACTTCATCTAAAGCAAATACAGTGCAATCCACTTGACTGACAACCAACAGCTTTAAGATCCCTTGAAACTCTGTCACTCCACGCCTGGGTGATGAATTTGGCATCAGAGATAGGGATCCCGCACCTGCCTCTGCCTCTGCCTGTTGCTGAGAAGGCCCAACACAAACTAGGGCCCCAGAATCAAAGGGAATAGGGAGCTCCAGGAAGTAGTGGGGAGGGCTCAAAGGATGGTCACTAAGTGAACATAGCAGAGCTTCAGATGGTCCAGAAAGACCACAGAGACTGCTGCCAGAAAAAGAAGAGAAGGGACCTTTCTGATGCCCACACACCTGGGACTACTGCAGAAAGCAGCAGGGAGTTTCAGATTAGCTGCTCTGCTGAAGCGCGCTCTCCACAGCCTGAGAATCATCCAAGGTGTCCTGGTATCAGATCTTCCACGGTGTCCTGGTATCAAATCTGTATTCAAGATGCAGAGCAACAGCTTCCACACAAAAGCAAAAGTTATTTCCCCGGCCATCAGAAAGTTAGAGTCACCAAGTCAAATATGACACCAGAAGGAGACCCTGCACAATCCACAGTGAGCTCTCCCACAGCTGGAAAAGCAGCAGAGAACAGGGAGGAGTTGTTATTCTTGCCTCCATGGCCAAGGCCAATCCTTGCTCCTGGTGGCCCTAGTACAAACTCCCCCAATTAATCCACACGCTACATGGTTAATGTCTGTAAGTTCATAGCCATGACTAAGTAATTCTAAAGAGGCAATATCATAAGCATAATCACTGCCACACGGGCTAGTCCATAAAACTCAATTTGACCCACAATGTACTTGGGCTCTAACCCTAACAGTACTGCCCCCAATACTCTTCAACATCTAAGAACAAATTTCATTTCTCTAACCTCCCTGACTGTGGGCTGTTCTAAGTGACATTCATGTCCGAGAAAAGCCAGGTAAAAGAATATTTGTAGATTCTAGTAACTTAGGCCCCCTCTATTTGCTAAGAGAAACACCTCAGTACTTTTGCAGAGAAAGTAATGCTTTATACCCATCACTTTACAGTTATTCCAAATTTCAAAACAAACACTACTGTGGGAAGCGGGTCGTATGGCATGAGTTTTGCAAGTCGGCCCCATATATATTGGTTTACTGTTACCCGTCTAAATTATGAGTTTAGGACCAACAGAACAATTGAAGCAGTCATTAATTAGGGTCACTGTCAACTAAGAACATACTGCTTTTGTTGCTTTAGAAGAAAGGTCTCCCTAGTTCATTACAGCTGTCACTCCTGCTCAGTGAGAGAGAACAAGCTCCAATCTGGAACGTGTGGACAGGCTACTTCTACATCTCACAGAAGGGGCCCACACTCATTCAGTACTTTCACAGAATGACAGTTCTTTGGAAGTCACAGAGTGCTAAATAAGCTAATAACTTACTGTCCTTCACAAAAGAACTACAAACAAGATCTTAATTAATTTGCTAACAGTTATTGCCTGTTTACTAAAATCAGCACAGATTCCATCTCTTTGCTCATTACAGAAATTCTCATGAGGCACATCTCCTTGGACATCATCATGAAGGAACTGGTCACTGAAGAAAGTAAAAGAGCTAAAGAGCTCGCCATTGAAGCAGGAGTACATTCAAGGTGGCTCCAGAAGGTCTCTAGGGACAGTGACAGCAGAGAAGGCAGGCATCAAGAAAGAGCTAAAGCCTGGACGGGTGGCTCAGTGGGTTGAGTATCATCCTGTGCACCAAAAGGTTGTTGGTTTGATTCCTTGGTCAGGGCACATACCAGGGTTGCGGGTTTGATCCCAGTTGGGGCACATACGGAAAGAAACCGATTGATCTCTCTCACTCTTCCTCTCTCTCAGCATGTTCTTGGTGAGGATTAAAAAAAAAAACAGTCATGAATGACCATCCAGATGTCTTGACTTGGTGTTTAATTTGTAAATCAGAACCAGGAAAATGAGTTGGTAAAAGTCAGACTGGGACCTTAATGGTCATCTTATCCAACAGCCTTTCATAAGCATGGACATGGCCAAACACTCTCAGGCTCAGCCCTTCATCATGGGTGAGCACTACCCTGGCCTGGCTCCTGTCCACCATCCACAAAAATGCCAGCATTTCCATGGTTTTGACAGCAGTGGTCTCACAAGGTTCAAGTTCTGTGGTGCATAAGGAAAGAGGCTAAGTTTAAGAGGGAAGTAACAAAAATTGCTGATGTTCCTGTCCCTGGACTCTTACAGTCTGTCCCAGAAGTGGCAGATCTATGCAAGCATTCCACAGTTTAATAGTGGGCTGTATTCCAGTCTATATAAGGTTCAGCTTTCTTGGAACTCACAACACATTTTCCAATTGGAAAACTTTAGGTTTCTAACGCAACCTAAAATTGAACCCGTTATTTCTTTCTTTCAACAAGTATTTATTGAGCTCTAGCCTGCATGGAGCTTACATTCTAATGGGGGAGAAACAACAGCAAATGGGAAGAGATAAATAATAAAGTTATTACCATTGGCAATTAAGTGTTGTGCAGAGGAGAAAGAAGACCCCTACAAAGGGTGGTGAGGGAAGGTCTTTTGAGAAGGGACTGCAATGGAGACCAAAGGAGTGATGGAAAGCCAGGGTGTGGAGTTTCCCAATGGGGGGGTGGCTGTGTCAGGGCTAAGAGGCAGGAAAGACAGGTTTGGCAGAGTAAACAAGGGCATAAGGTTCAGGGATGGGGGCTTATAGGCCACAAAAGGGAGCTTATATCTAATTCTCAGTGCAGTGGGAAGCCACTGAATAGTTTTAAGCAGTGAACTGAAATGTTCTGGTTTTCATTTCAGGACCAGTTTTGCAGTGATGTAGAAGAGATCTGGAAGAAGACAAAGTTAAAGCAGAAAAAATAGGTAGGAGACTGTTAAAGTAATCCTGGGGGAGATAATAGTGGCCTGAACTAAGATGCTCACTAGATAGAGGGAGAAGAGAGGAGCCTGGAGTTGTCTTGGAGTTAGAATCAGAAATTCTGAGGAAGAGGATGTGGAAGAGGATAGAGAGGAATCACCTCCTGTCTGTGAAATGGGGATAAATACAGTAAAATAAAGTATTGGCACAATGCACATGCTCAGTCTCTGCAGGGCTGCATCCCCCAGCTCCACCCACCACTTACGGGCCAAGGGACCTTGAGTGCTGTGAGAAGTAACTGAGCCTCTCAGTGCTTCCGTTTCTGCTGCTGTATGTCAAACAAGGATAGTAATAGCATCTACCTCGTGGATTTGTTGCAAGAATTCAAAGAGTTAGTATTTACAACATGCTTAAAACAGTGCCTGGTGTGTACTAGGAGTTATATAATCTATTCTTATTACTATTACTATTTCATCATCTATATCATTAAGGAAGTGCCTGGGACATAAACGCTCAACAAATGTCAGCTCTTACTGTTATCATCATGAATAATTGTCAGTTGATGGTGGCAATAACTGAGGTGAAGAACAGGACAGATGAGGGGATTGCTATGAATAGGGCCTGTGGAAGCAGTTACATTTGAAATGTTAAGTTTGCACTGCCTAGAAGTCAATTCAAATGCCAAGGTCAAATAAGAAGCTGGACATATGAATCTCAACCTCAGAGGAGAAGTCTAGACTAGAAGTAGTAACTTAAGAGTTATCCACATAAAGACGAGTTAACTACAGAAAATGGTGAGTTGGTGAAAGAGAGGATGAAGATAGAGAAGAGGATCTAGTGATAAGCCCTGTGGAACCCCAACATTCCAGGTCAGGCCAGGGTGGAGGAGCCAGCAGGGGAAACTGAGAAAGGACAGTTAAGAAGAGGAAGAAGCCCTGGCCAGTTTGGCTCAGCAGTTAGAATGTCAGCCCTCTGACCTAGGAGTCAAGGGTTGGATTCCGGGTCAAGGGCACATACCTCGGTTGTAGGTTTGATCCCAGCCCCCGTCAGGGTTGTGTGGGAGGCAACCAATTGATGTGTGTGTGTCTCTCTCACTCTCTCCCTCCCTCCCTCCCTCCTACTCTATCTAAATATCAATGGAAAAATGTTCCCAGGTAAGAATGTTAAAAGAAGGAAGAAAGCAAACAGGCAGTGAAGTCCTCACAGCCAAGCAAGAAGAGGGTCTGCTGAGAGGTCAAAATGGATAAAGACGTGGATGTGGCTCCATGGAGGTTATTGGTGATCTTGACGTGTGGACTTTTAGCACCTTACATATTCATTTCAACTCTACCTAACTTTCATTTACAACATTGTCTGTAAAAAAACAAACAAAAACACATTTTAAAGGCAGTGGGAAAAATTCTGACCTTGGAGTCAAGAGACCAAAGTTCAAGCTGCAGTGAGGTCTTGAGTAAGTCCCTCAACAACAATGGCATAGGTAAAATGATAAAGCTTGGCCAGATTCCCAAACACGGTTTCTGAGTTCCCTATATGTCTAAAACCCACTAATCAAAGTCCGTTAAATTATTTTTCAATATTTAAAACATGTACTGAGAACTATGCATCTACCTAAGATAACTGTCACATTTCTTTGTTCTTGGCTGGAATTATAACTGAGCACAGTAACCACTATAAACTTGGGAAGCAGCAATGGTTAAGAAGGGAGACTCTGGATCTGAATGCCTGACTTCAAATTCTGGCTCCATCACTTACTACGTGACTAGAGCTATGCTACTTAACCACTAAGGTCTCAGTTTCCCCATCTGTAAAATTAGGACTATGACAGTACCTGTCTCATAGAGCACATGAGGGTTTTAAATGAGTTAATCCTTGTAAAATCTTAGCAGGATCTATCCCTGTAGACTTTCCTCCTCCTCCTCGACTGTTCTCAGTCTACTCTGCTGGCTCCTCCACCTCGGCCTGACCTGGAATGCTGGGGTTCCACAGAACTCATGACCAGATCCTCTTCCTCCATCTCCATCCTCTCCCTCACTGAGCTCAACACGAAACACATAATTAAGTATAATTGACCCTTGAACAACACAGATTTGAACTGTGCAGATCCACTTATATGTGGATTTTTTCCCAATAAATATACTGTCAGCCCTCTATATCCGTGGGTTTTGCATCTACAGATTCAACCAATCACAGATTGAAAAAAATACTGTTTCAATCAGCAGTTGGTTGGATCCATGGATGTGAAGGGCTGACTGTAAAGTTTTTGAGGAGTCAAAAGTAATACACAGATTTTTCGACTGTGGAGGGAGAGCAGTGTTGGCATCCCTAACCCCTTCATTGTTCAAGAATCAACTGTACAGAACAAACAGGAGCTAGTAATACCATTACCTTACACTGAACAAAATTTCTTAGCTATTAAGATCACTGGGGTAAAAAGGAACACTATTAAAAGGAAGAATATGATGGTGAAAATGTTGGTGAACACTGGTAACTCTTAATTCAAAATTTCTTCTTCTGGATGCCTGAAACATGATGGAACATGAAACTCATTAGAATCTA